GGACGTTGGGGTGGCATGGTGGTCTGAGAGATCAGTGATGTGGGGTGAAGTCCAAGGGCCTGGGAAGCCCTCCCCTGACTTAGCAAGGGTCTGGGGTGGTAGGCCTGAGGAGGTGCTGGGAGCCTGGGAGGTGAGCAGAGCAGAGGAAACTGGGGAGCTGAGAGGGCTCCCAGGGACTGTGAACAGAGGAGAGTTTGAGGCAAGAGGCTGTCTCAGGGCCTAGGCTCCTGCTGGCCTGCGGTGAGAGCCCAAAACTTGGCTAATGGGGGGAAGATGGGCCTTTGGGCAGCAGAAGCTCTAAGCTCCCACCCCGACCCCTTTCCACCCTTTCCCTCCACCCTAGAGCAGCAAAGAGTCACTAAGAGCAGAGGCTCAAAACATCTCCAGCTCCTTCAAGGACCTGGACACCCAGGTGAGTAGTGAGAGCGGCTACACACCTGAGGATGCCGTGGGCTCAGAGGAGGCAGCTCAAGGCGTGCGGACCCACCGAGCCGTGGCCTCCAGACGCCACCTCTCCACACAAAAGATGTATGAGATGAAGACCAAGCTGCGTTGCTCCAGTGAGGGGTGTCCCCGGGCGGGGCAGGGTGGGGCAGGCCACGGGGCCACGGTGTGGGGACCTCAGACAGCCCCAGTCCCTCCCCACAGATGTGGTGAACCAGGCCATTCTCAGCTGCCGCCGCTGGTTTGACCAAAAGCACAAACAGTGCATGCAACGCGTCCGGGTCCCGCTGCTCAAGCACCTGCTCTGCGTGCCCATGAAGTTCAAGTTCTTCTGTGGCATTGCCAAGGGTCAGCACAGTGGCCGCAGGGTGGGGAGCGGCAGGGCTAGCAGCTGAGTCCTTGGGGAGCGCTGAGTAGTCGTGGGGCCCAAAAGCAATCAGGCGGGGAGGCTTTGGGCTCCGAGGACACAGCACCCGCAGAGCAGCCCCTCCACTGTGGCTTTGTGACCCAGGGCAAGTCACAGCTAAGCCTGAGCTTCGTCTCACCTGACAGATGGGCATATAATGGTGCTTATCCCATTCAGGGTTTCTGAGGAGGGAAGGGGCTAACACTTGGGAACGGGGTAACAGAGCGGGCACACAGAGGTGCTGTTCTGTGAACGTGGGCCATCATTATTATTAACATGTGCTGAAACAATGGGGAAGTCGGGTCTTGTCCCTGAGAAAAAGAATTCACGGAGAGCAGAAAGGGGAGCCCTCTGAGTGGTGGAAAGTCATCAGGGAGGCAAAAAGGATGGAGAGGGCCCGGGGAGGGAGGCCTGGAGGCCAGGCGCAGGAAGGCACCCGTGACCTGACCCCACGGCCCCCAGTGATGGACGTTTGGTGCCGCAGTCGCATCCCAGTGGAAGGCAACTTTGGGCAGACCTACGACTCCCTCAACCAGTCTATTCGTGACCTGAGTGGGGAATTCTCAGCCACTATTGACTTCAAGGTAGGGGGCAGGGGCATACTGGGAGTGGGGGGTGGGGGGAGGGTACAGGGAACGGGCCTGAGGAAGGGCAAGTGACAGGGCACAGGAAAGAGGTGACGGTGTGAGGGAGGGGGCAGCGCTGAGCCCGTGGCCTGCGTGGACCTGACTTTGGGGCGGAACGGTCAACCAGGTGTGAGAGGGTGTCGTCTCCTACAGGTGCAGGAGGGCAACTGTGTCAAGCAGGGTGGTGAGAGAAGGAAGCGGTAGCTCCCGCGGGTCCAGGGACAAGCCAGAGGACATGACATGAGTGGAGCACTGGGGAGAGAGGCCTGGGGGAGGCCGGGTCTGGGCCCGTGTGGCCGCAGCAGGTTGGGTCTGCACCCGTGCGCTCTCAACAGGAAGAGAAGCAGGCCGGGCTGGTGGGCCTCAACACGAGCTGGGAACACGTGAGCACGGAGCTGCGGGACTATGTGAGAAGCCAGGAGGCCCAGCTGGAGTGGAGCCTGGGGCTGCTGCAGGTGCTGCTGTCCTGCACCTTCCTGCTCGTCCTCCGAGCGTGAGCCCCGAACCCCGGCCCGGAAGCCCCCAGAGCCCACCTCCCACTCCAAATGGGAATATTTGTGTGCCTTGAACTTTCCTGCCAGAAAGCTCCGTTCATTGTTTACACAAAATGAAAGGAAATGTGGGCATTTTGTCAGAAGAAGCATTGCCCTTGGTCCTGCCACCTTAAAAGGGCGACCGTCTCCATTTATCTACCTCCTTCCAGCCTTTATGCCAACGCTTTTTTTTACCGTTCGCTTTGACTTTTGATTTTTTTTTCTTGCCCTTCATATTCCCCTTGGCTCTGACTTTGTGCCATTTTTATCGTCCAATTCTGCTTTCATTTTCTCCCGCCTGCTGCGTTGGCAGCTACTTTCCCTCCATTTGGACCAAAGTCCTCAACCCCACCCAGCCTGGCGTCCAGCTGGGCTGCCCTGGGACTTGCTCTCTGTCCCCTGCTGACCTCTGGAACCTGTTTCCTGTCTCCACCCCCAAATGCCTGAGAGGGGCAGAGGCCGGGCAGGGGCTGGGCAGGGATAGCCATAGGGGTTCCTGCTCTGGGTGCCCCTTTTTGTAGGGCCTAGAGTCCCTGCCAGGGAGTGATTATGTGCCCGCCCGTGGGAGGACAAAGATGGATGAGCCGTATTCCCGCCCTCAAGAAGCTCATGGTCGAGGGCAGGCTAGAGGCATCCATAAAACAGAGATGATTTTTCCAGGGCTGCGTGACAGGTGTGGGAACTGTGGGGACGCCCCTGCAAGGGCCATAACTGGGCTTCAAAAGGCTGCAGGTGGGAGCCATGGGCTACAAGAGGAAGAAGGGTGTTCTTTCGGGCAAGGATCCTGGCATCTGTGGGATGCAGAGGGCAGAGGACGAGGCTGAAAAGGGCATGGCCAGAACAGCCTGGAAAGCCCTGCAGGAGGGCTCTGAACTGCCGGCAGTTGCAGGATGGACCAGGGCAAGCTGGAGGCAGGAGTCCCAAGGTGGGTCAGCAGTCAGGGAGCCTGGCTGCAGTGGCACGTGGCAGGAAGTTGGCCTGAGGAGGATGGAGGAAGGGGTAGGTGTAGCAGCTCTCAGAGCTAGCTTGGGGTGGGAAGGAAGGAGGCACAGAGTCAAAAGGCACTTCCAGGCTTTCAACCTGGGTGAGGTCACTCACTGAAGGGGCAGCGTAGCCTAGAGGGCGGGGCCCAGGCTCGGGGCGACCCTTGCGCAGCAGCGGTAGGTCTCTCCACAAGGGGGCGCTCACAGTCTTTCTTTGCATTTAGACATTTCTATCCTAAAGGCAAAGATGTATGGATTTGGAATAGCATTGGAACCTGTTTTATTTAATGCAATTTTACAGTTTCAAACAAATTTTCAACAACTTTTTTTCTTAGGAAACTGAAGTATTATGTGGGATCTTGGGAGACACACAGAGAAGAGTTACACATGCACACACACACACACACACACACACACAGAAAACACTGCTGTACTCGAGGGTGTGTCAGAGGAGAAGGGAAATTGTCAGGATGAGTTTTGCTTAAAGGGACCTCTAGAAGATGTTTTGCAGCCTCAGCCAGGAGGCGGGGACTTAAAGAAGTGAATGTGAGAGTCATAATGGGTCAGGTGATTCTTGCAACCTTGATAGGTTCCCATCTCTGTGTTTTTGCTCTTGCTGTTTCTTCTGCTTGATAGTCATTCTGCAAGGTGCATGCCTGGGAAACGTTCCCCTATCTCCCATGCACACACAGGCACTTCCCCAGCCCTCCCTCCCAGACAGACTGGGCCCCCACCACATCCCATCCTCACCTCTGCTGTGTCTCATCAGCTGAGTAAGCGTCTGTCTTTCACTGGACCATGGGCTGCTGGGCGGTAGGGTGGAGTCCTCTTCTCCTAGGATGTAGATGGTGCTCAGTGGACGCTGGCCTGACGGTTGAATGACTGTGCCTCAAGGGAGCCCAGGGTTGGGGGTGGGTGCGGAGAACCGGAAAGAGATGGGGACACGCTCATCCACAGGTCCTTCTCCTACGTGGACAGCTATAATGGGGACATTCGCTTTGACAATATCTACATCAGCACCTACTTCCGTCAGATCGATGAACGCAGGAAGAAGCTGGTGAGTGGGCCCAGCCCTGCCCACGGGTGCCCTGCTGTGTGTCCTGTGTGGCTTCACACTCGGGGAGGGCAGAGGGGACAGGAGAGGGCCCTTAGCGTGCCTCACTGTGTGGACAATTTTTCCAGGGTAGACGGAGTCTGCTACCGCTCCGCAAAGCTGAGAAGAAAACCGTCATCTTCCCCTACAACCCCACTATTCAGGCCACAGAAATGAAGAACGTGGTGAGGATGGCAGGGGAGGCAACTCCTGGCACAGATGGGGGGAGGCAACAAAGAGGGCTTCATGCCCGGCGGGTGGGTGGCACTGCCCTGCTCCAGCCCTCCTGCTCTTCTCGGGCAGGTAAGGGAGCTCATGGAGACACTGCCCATTCTGCTGCTGTTCCTGGTGCTGTGTGGACTGGACTGGGCTCTCTACTCCATCTTCGACACCATCCGCCACCACTCCTTCCTGGAATACTCCTTCCGCAGTGAGCCCTGCCCCCCAAGACACCCACGGAGAGCTCCCACCCCTGTGCAGCCATCCCATCCCAATTCTTCCAATTCTGTCATCTCCTCCTGGTTCTCAGCCCCGCCCTGTCCTCCTCGGGGTCAAATCTCAGCCCTGCAACCCAACAGCTGTTCATATCTGCCACAGGAAGGGAGAAAAGTGCCCTTGAGAAATATTTCGATGCCTTGACCTCTCCCCATGCCCGTAACTGCAGCTTTTTCCTGACATGCCTTTACTCTCCACCCCTACACCATGGCCTGATCCTGGCCTCAGGCAGTCATAAATTGGAGGTGAAAGTTGGGGGAGACTCCATGCTTGCCTGGCTTCTTCGGAAAACCATTGGGGCCTTGAACACCTCCTCAGAGACAGTGGTGGAGTCCAACAACGTGCGTGAGTAATGCTGAGACTTTGGATCAGAGGAATTGAGAGCTGGGGGGGGCAAGGATCTTTCCCAGGCAGAGTTGGGGGACCGGGCCTTGGGTGTGGCAAGATGGGGGTCAGCATGCTTGGGTTGGGGAATCAGAGCAGGAAATATCAGGTCCTCAAGGATGACAGACTTGGGTCAGAGGAGTCGGGGACTGGGGCCTTTAGACCAGAGGGTCCCAGCCCTCCAGAGCGGCGCTGCCCAACAGAACTATCTGCTAGGATGGGAACGTCCTACACCTGTGCCACGTTGAGCAAACAGCCTTGTGGGCCTAGAGGCAGAGCAGCTCTGCAGGGTGAGGGGCAGGTAGGACAGCAAGGTGTCAGACACCTGACTTGCACCCTCTCCGGGCTGGGGGAATTCAATCAGGGCTGCCCTGTGCCTTGGCCCGTCCTGGCCAGACCCCTGACAGGCCTGCCCCTGCCCCCAGCCTGCCTGCCCCAGCCCGTGTGTCTGAATGCCAAGGCCTATTTGAGGGCTGCGCTGCCCATCGCCTTGCTCGTGTGCCTCTGCCTGCTCCAGGCTTTCGGTTACCGGCTCCGGAGGGTCATCGCAGCTTTCTACTTCCCCAAGGTGCACCCTCCCCTCCCCGCTCCACCCCTACGTGCACCCAGCTCCCCACTGATGCCATCTTTGGAGGATGCCATCCCCTCAGCACTGTCACTGTCATTGACCCCCTGTCCCTGGCCCCAGCGAGAGAAGAAGCGGACCCTGTTCTTCTACAATGAGCTTCTGAGGAAAAGGGCAGCCTTCACCCAACTGAGGAGGGCGGCCATTGTGAGGCAGGCACGGCAGCAGAGGGCTCCGGTAAGTCCAGGCCTGGGCTCCTGGGCTCCTGACCAGGCCTGAGAACTGTGGCGGGAGGGCACCTCCATTCCGTTCACCCAGCCACCACCACCGTCTCAGCCCTCCTGAAGCTCAGTGAGTTCTGCCGCGGTTCATGCCAAGGGCCATGGTCATCCGGCCCCTGGAGGTCAGCGCCCTGTCCATCTCTGCACCCTGGAAGTCTGCCCAGCCTGAGATACTAGGCGGACCACCAGGAAGCAGGCAGAAAAGGAGAATCAGACTTGACACAGTCTGGTTAAAGGAAAGCCATCAGAAACAAGGGACCGGAGGCAAAGCCACAGGTTCTCTGAGAGGGCTGCCGACTGGAAGCTCAGTGCGGTTCAGAGGAGCAGGGGAGAGGTGGGGGGCACTGGGGCTCAGGGAGGCCTCCTGAAGGGGCACGTGCTACATAGAAAGGGCATGGAGTCAGAAGAACCAGGTTCCGGCCCACACTCCCTCATTAAGCTGTGTGACCTGGGCCATAGCCCTCCCTGGACCTCAGTTTCTCCCTCTGAAGAACGGGGAGGTAGGACATATCTGCAGGCCTGCTCCCTGGAGAGCCATAACAGCGTGGTGGTCAGGCGTAGTGCTCTGGTGCCAGAAGGCCTGGGTGTGAGCCCTGGCTCGCCCCCTTATTACTATGACAACTGTGTAGTCTTGGGCACTTATTTAGATGCTATTATGCCTTGGTTTCCCTTTTCTGTAAAATGGAGTTAACTATCCCACCTGGTTTTTGTAAGGATGAAATGAGTTCTGCTCTCATGGGAGGTGCAGGCATGTAGCAAGTTTTATATACGTGTTAGTCGTTACTGTGTGGCCCTAGGCAAGTGACCGCTTCTCCAAGCATTAGTTTTCTCACCTGCAAAAAGACATGATGATGATGATGATGATGATGATATCGGCCTTATATGGTTATGGTTTGAATTGAGTTATTTACAGTTTCTTAGCACGGGGTCCAACATTAAAAAAAAATGAATGGCAGCCATTTAATCAACCCTAACAAAGCTCATAAAAGCGAGAGTGTGTTTGCTCCACTTTTTCCTCCAGTGCCCAGATTCCCTCCCATGACACACAATAGGGCTGAATAAATATCTGATGAAAAAGGGAACATACTGTGATTCCATGCCCCCATCCTGAAGTCAACTGGATTTTGATGGGCAGATGGAAATGTGAAGGGCAGTCATTCCAAGCTGAGGGAACAGAATGTGCAAAGACTCAGCGTCCAAAGGGAACGCCAAGTGTCAGGGCTGATGGAAGGAGAAGCTGGCACAGAAGATGCAAAGTTCAGGGAGAGGGAAGATGGAGCAGAGGCTAGAAAGGAACCAGGCTGTTGAGGGCTCTGAAGGCCAAACCCAGGAAGGACTTGCACCTTTGCCAGGCCGTGGGGCTCCTGGAGTTTCTTGAGCAAAGAGTGATGTGATAAGGTGACTGTGGAGAAGAATTCCTGGCAAGTGTGTGGATAGAGGGTGGGAGAGAGAGAACCAGGCTTGTAGTTCGGAATTAGGGTACCTGGGTCTAGCCGGGTTTGATTGCTTGCTATCTGTGTGCCTTTGAGAAAGTCGCTTAATCTTTGTGAGATTCATCTTTCTCATCTGTCAAGTATGGAACACAATAGTGATAGTCTTGTCAGCCCGTTCCCCCCTCCCCCCATGAGAACCAAATAAGATGCTTTATGGGAAAGTACAGATGAGGGTTACTGCTCCATCCTCACAGGCTCCATCACGGAGTGGGAGAGGCTCTCTAGGACCCACTTCCATGGCACCCTTGCCCTCCAGGGGTCTTCGCCCATTCCAGCGCCCCCAACACGTAGGCATCGTCACGCCTTGAGACTTCAGACAGGAAGCGCTGTCCAGTTCCCCTCGGGCCCCCTTTCCCTCCTGGACCCCCAACAGGCTCTAAACCCTCCTCACCCCCCAACAGCGCCACCGCCTAGTGGACATCCTGCACCGCTGCTGCCCGCTCTTGCGCCCCTGGCTGCGCCGGCGCTGCGTGGTGTGCCAGGCCCCCGAGACGCCCGAGTCCTACGTGTGCCCGACTCCGGACTGCGAGGCCGTGTACTGCAGGTCGTGCTGGGACGACATGCGGCAGCGGTGCCCGGCCTGCACACCCTGCGAGGAGCTCTCCTCCTCCGCCTACAGCGACAGCAATGATGACGCCACCTACGCGGAGTGAAGGGTCGATCGGCTCGCTCCTAATAAAATGCCGTGTACACTCCTGCTGCCTGCGCCTCGCAGGGGTCTGGTACGGGGCGTAGGGGGCGGGGGTGAGCCGGGCGCTGCCAGGCCTGCAGTC